AGCAAGTGAAGCATTTCTGCTGTCAAAGAATTCACAGTCAGGAGAGGAGACAAGAGTAAACAAAGCAGCAGGTGCTACAAAGGTTGGCAAGTGGACAATGAAGTTCACGAGAAGGTGGGGGGGGGACATCAAACTCATGCTGGGGGTTAGGAAGGCTGTCGAGAGACGAAACAAGCAACTCTAGAAGGAGTAGGAGCTGCCAAGCCAACGAGAAACAGAAGGGCAGTCCAGGTAGGCTGAGTTGCAGGCACAAAAGCACAGCGGTGGGAGACAATGTATGCGTTGTGAAGTATGATTAGAGCAAAAGGTGTGCAAAGGGTTTTAGGCAGGAGAATAAATTCTATAATAAATAACGAATTAGGGGCGCCTGGCTAGTTCAGTGGATACAGCATGTGAGTCTTGATCTCGAGGTTATGAGCTCGAGCCTCGTGTTGGCTGTAGAGATTACTAAAATAAACAACAAAAAAAGAATTAAATCAACAAATATTTATTGAGTGCTTACTACGTGTCAGTGTTCTAAGTGCCTGAAATAGAAGAGTAAGACAGATAAAAATTCTTTCCCCTATAGAGCTTGTATTACAAGAGATAACAAAATTAACAAGTAACATACGTGGTATAAAAACTAAAGAGGGGCGCCCGGGTGACTCAGTCAGTTAAGCATCTGACTCTCGATTTCAGCTCAGGTCATGATCTCACGGTTCAGGGGATCGAGCTTTGTGTGAGCTCTGCACTGACAGCATGGAGCCTGCTTGGGATTCTCTCCCCCGCCCCCGCCCCCCCCCAATTAAAAAAAAACACTTAAAAAAAAAAAAAAATGTAAAGGTATCCCTACAGATGCTCTGTTGAGCATATCCTGTAGAGGGTAAGGGCAGAAGCAGACCATAGAGCAAGACGAGTAGTAAGCAATCAGGTAGGCAGGTAAGAGAAACTGTGGCAGCAGAATGGCCAATCCAGCAGAGTGGTGGGAGACTGACGGCAGGAAAAGCAGTAACACATTTCCGCAGCAAAGTGAGGGAAGCGGAATAAAGACCTCAGCCAGGCTGAAGCACTGAGAATGGAGAAACAGAAACAGGGCTGGACCATGCGTAGGAGGCAAAATCAACCAAATAGGGATGGTAGGGGACCAGGACAGGGGAGGACGTTTCTGACTCAGCGAACAGGTACCCGAGAGTGCCGTGCAGAAGAAAGAGAAAATCCAAAAATGGGGGCTTCAGCTTCCAAGCCTAAAATAACTGAGGGATCACTCCCTTTCCAGGAGCCATAAAGCACTTCCTCCATCAGTCACGGCACAGAAAGCCCAATGTCATTCATGAAATTCGTAACCCATCCACCTGGTGACACAAGTCAGAAACCTGGGGGTCACCCCTGTCACCTCCCACTTTCTTAGTTCCATCTCCAATCCACCAAAAATACCTCTTTTGTCCATTTTCTTATCACTTACGTTACCAGCACCCAGGTCCAAGCCACGGGTCTCTCGCCTAGATGGAGAGACCCTCAAGGTCTCTGTCTTTAACTCCCGCTCCTCCCCAACTCACTCGTCACTCTGACACCAGAATGCCCTTTCTAAAGTGTACACGGGATAGTGCCACTCCCCGGCTCAACACTTGTCGGTGGGAGCGCCTGGCTGGCTCAGTCCGTAGAAAGTACAACTCTTGATCTCAAGGTTGTGGGTTTGAGCCCCACAGCCCCACACCGGGTGTAGGGATTACTTTAAAAAAATAAATTTAAAAATATTTTTAAAAACCACAACACGTGGTGGCCTCTAAGTGCCTTTAGGCTATAAAATCCTGCCTGATGTGGGCCCTTACCTCTCCAGCTTTATCCCAGACCACTCTCCCCAGGGCTCCTTCAGTAAACCCTGCCCATAGGGCACCTAACACATAACAATCAACACACGCTTGCTGAATGAATGAAGGTGATATTTCACACATCAGTAAACCAACTGCCCCCAAAGCCACAGGCTATGGTCCACCCTGTAGGACTTTTCCTCCACCCAGGACTGGAACACTGCTCACTCTAACTGGGGGTGCTTGTGGCAGGGGATGTGACCCGCAAGAGGCAGATTCATTCAGGCGATTATCACCGGCCGGGTTATTTGGCAGCTTGGACTGCAGAAAAGGGGAGTCCACAGCTAAATACTGACCTCCTCGGCATTCTCCAAGTCACCTAGCCCTTCATCCTCCTCCACATCATCAAAGTCGTCACCATCAAAACTGTACAAGAAGAAGAGGGCAGTTAGTTGGAGCATCACTTACTAGAATCAAAGACAGCAGAGGGGCGCCTGGGTGGCTCAGTCGGTTAAGCATCTGACTTCGACTCAGGTCATGATCTCACGGCTTGTGAGGTCAAGCCCTGCATCAGGCTCTGTGATGACAGCTCAGAGCCTGGAGCCTGCTTCAGATCTTGTTTGTCTGTCTGTCTGTCTCTCTCTCTCCCCCTCCCCCGCTCAGACTCTGTCTCTCAAAAATAAATAAATGTTAAAAAAAATTTTTTTAGGGGCGCCTGGGTGGCGCAGTCGGTTAAGCGTCCGACTTCAGCCAGGTCACGATCTCGCGGTCTGTGAGTTCGAGCCCTGCGTCAGGCTCTGGGCTGATGGCTCGGAGCCTGGAGCCTGTTTCCGATTCTGTGTCTCCCTCCCTCTCTGCCCCTCCCCCGTTCATGCTCTGTCTCTCTCTGTCCCAAAAATAAATAAACGTTGAAAAAAAAAAATTTTTTTTTTTAAAAATTTTTTTAAAGACAGCAGAATACCCGTATCTCACTCAGTACGTAGAACTGACTCAATAAGTAACTACTTAATGAGTGAATCAAACTTCTTTTCCATTTTACTTCCATCCTTACCCCCATCAGCCCCCAAATTTCGCTAGGACTCACTCATCATCACTGTTTCTCTACTGGATCATTCCCATCAACATATAAACATGTAGTTCTTTTCCCATCTTAAAAAATAAACAAAACTGGGGCGCCTGGGTGGCGCAGTCGGTTAAGCATCCGACTTCAGCCAGGTCACGATCTCACCGTCCGTGGGTTCGAGCCCCGCATAGGGCTCTGGGCTGATGGCTCAGAGCCTGGAGCCTGTTTCCGATTCTGTGTCTCCCTCTCTCTCTGCCCCTCCCCCGTTCATGCTCTGTCTCTCTCTGTCCCAAAAATAAATAAACGTTGAAAAAAAAATTTAAAAAAAAAAAAATAAACAAAACTTATTTCGCTTGTACCCCCCACCGAGCCCTATGTCCATGCTCCTCTTGGGAGCCAAATTCATGAAAGCTGTCCCTCTTCTGTCTCCAGTTGTGTCATAATCTCACGCCAGCAAGGCTTTTACCTCCACAGTTCTAGCAAAACCAGCCTTCTCAAGTTCATTAATGGCTGCCACGTTGCTAAATCCAATGGACAAGTCTTGTTCTCCTTTAGCTGAATCTCTCAGTTGGCGCACCAGACCACCCCCCCCACACACACACACTCCCCAGCTCAATACTCTGCCCTCACTTAACTACAAGGACACCTCTCTCTTGGGGTTCTCCCACCTCACTGGCTGTCCCATCTCAGTCTCCTATGCTGGTTTCCTCCTCTCTTCCCCACAGGCACTCAATGCTGGAATGCCCTAACAGTCCCCAGCCATCTCTTCTTCTCTACCGACACTCCCCTGAGGTTTTCACCTGATTCTTACTTTTGACTAAAATACAGTATACTCTATTTCATATACACACTGCTGATGACTCCACTATTTTCATCTTGATAAGACGCATCTCCTCCGACCCCACGTATCAGGAAATCTTTGGGCTCTACCTTCAACATCGATCCAGAATTCAACACCACCTGCCGTCACCACCTCTCCTAGTGCCACCCCAGTCCAAGCCACGACCTTCTCACCGAGATTCCTGCAACCCTTCCAGACCTTTACCACCCCCCGAGTCTCGCCAGACTCTCCCCTGGACTCCTTCTCTACTACGTACGTCTACCACGTACTCTCACACGACCCTGCATTATCTGTTTATGGGCCTGTCCCCTCTTCTAGAAAGGGCGCCCCCGGGGACGAGAGACTATGCCTAGTTCACCTCAATACTCTCATTACAAGACACGGAGCCCGGCTCGCTGTTAGTCGGCTGAAAGACCTTTTTCACTGCTCCTCGAGCCGGGCCTCTGGATGGATCTTTCCTCCCGGCCCCCCGCCCTTCTCCCCCGCAGCTCCGCGGGCCCACTCAGCACCCGCAGTCCCCTCAAGACACTGCCCCTCGAGCCTGGCTCCTCGGCCTCCTTCGACCCAGGCTCCCGCTTCACCCGCCCCTTCCCAAGCTCCCGCACTCACTTGTCCTCGTTATCTGACATGACGCCGGCGCCGCAGCGACCCCACTCCGCGCCAGGGACCCGCGCGGAGACCCGAAAACAGCGCGCCTCCGCCTCGAGCGGCGCCACGCGTGTTCTGCGCCTGCGCCGTGACCCAGAGGCAAGTACTTCCGGTAGGCAGGCCGAAGCCGTAACTGTGCGCACGCGCCGGGAGGCGTGTGCCCGTTCCCATGGTAGCCGGAGCCGCTGGGGGCGGGCTCTAGTCGCTGAGATCCGGAGGGTTTCGCGCGGGGGCCAGGCGCCGCACAACCGCCGCGGGGCCGTGGTTACGGTCTCCCGAGCCCAGCTGCTCCCTGTGAGGAGGAGGCACCAGCGGGGTCTTACATTAGGGTGAGGTTTCCATTTTGGTTTGTCCCCCAACGGGCTCTGTCCGGACCACGGCTTATCCTAACCTCCTCTTTCCGCCAGAGAGGGTTTCCCTGCCACAGGCGTCGGGTCAGGATGAGGTCTCCGTTCATGTGTGAGGATCTGCCTGTGTATCTGCTCGGGGTGGGGGGGGGGGGGGGGAAGGGCACTATCGCGATACTGACGGCAACGAGTCACGTTTTTGCTGAGACTCGACCCCCGCTCCTGGACTTTGGGTGGCGTCGAGGAGGTTGGGGGCGCGGTAGCAGAAATTGGGCCTGGGAGACAGGGGTTGTCATTGCGTTTTTCCCTCCTCAGGGCCCTTCCATGGCTTCCCAGGAAAGGGTGGAGGCAGTGACCAAAGGAACAGGGTTCTGGCGCTGCTCCAAGCCAGCCACTTACACCCCCGGGACCTGCAAGCTGCTCAGAGGTCAGTGTGTTTAAAGGACCGGAGAAGAGTGGTGGTAGCAGGTACCCTCTGTAACTCAGTTATCCCTTACATGATCTGTGCTTAGCAATTGCTACTTTTATTTTACAGATAAGAAGCCTGGGGTTCAGAAAGGTTTGGGGATCCTACAACTTGCAAGTGGCCTGAAGTCAAAGAAATAAGAATTTTGAAGTGATTAACTCCTGCGCATCCCTTAGATCACACTTTCAATTTCCCCAGGGAAGCCTGATCTCCTCCCCACCCACCACCACAGTGGAACCAACAGTTAGTTCCCTGCTTTCACACTACCAAATACCCTTTCCTTCAACGGACAACACAACCTGGAGTCAGATATTTAGTTGTCTCCCACTGGATTAATATTTATCTACCCCTCTAGATCACGAACTCCATTAGGGCAGGGATTGTGCCTGTTTGGGCTCAGGATTGTAGCTCCAGCACCTGGCACATGCTTAATAAAATACTGTCCATTGGTTCACTCACTCAACAGCAAAAAAAATTTTAAACCTGCTTAATGTGCTTTAGACATTGTTCTAAGTGCCAGAGACACAGCAGTTAAAAAGAAAAGAAGAAAAAAATGGAGCGCTTGGGTGGCTCAGTCAGTTAAGCGTCCGACTTCGGCTCAGGTCATGATCTCACGGTCCGTGAGTTCGAGCCCCGCGTCAGGCTCTGTGCTGACAGCTCGGAGCCTGGAGCCTGTTTCAGAATCTGTGTCTCCCTCTCTCTCTCTGACCCTCCCCCATTCATGCTCTGTCTCTCTCTGTCTCAAAAATAAATAAATGCTAAAAAATTTTAAATTAATAATAAATGAAAAGAAAAAAAACAGCAAAAAATCTTGCTCTCTCATGAGCTCATATTCTAGTAGGAGTGACAATAAGTATATAGAATTTCAGTGACAGTAAGTGTTACAGAAAAAACAATGAAGCAGGAAAAGGAGGGAAGGAGTACTGAGGTGCGGAATGGGGTTAGGAGGGGATACAATTTTACCCTAGAATAAGGTGAGATGAAGGGCTGTGTCTGCCGTCCGGGAGACCTCATAGCGGTGCTTTATCTTTGCAGTGATGATGAAGGAATCCAAACTGACAAACTTCCAACAGCGACACATCATGGACACCATGAAAAGTAAGAGGCAATCCACAGAGGCTTCCTGGGCAGAGGGACTCTGGACCACACTTTTAATGCTCCTCCATATTCAGGGGTTGGGGATCTCGTTTAAAAGGACCAGGGGCACCTGGGTGGCTCAGTGGGTTGAGCGCCTGACTTCGGCTCAGGTCATGATCTCATGGTTCACGAGTTCAAGCCCCACATCAGACTTACTGCTGTCAGCGCAGAGCCCCCTTCAGAGCCTCTGTCCCTCTCTCTCTGCCCCTTCCCTGCTTGGGCTCTCAGAAAGAAAAAAAATCTCTTAAAGACCACAAAAAGGGTTACCTGGGTGACTAGGTTGGTTAAGCGACTGACTCTTGGTTTCAGCTCGGGTCCATCAGGCACCACGCTGATAGCCTGGAGTCTGCTTGGGATTCTCTCTCTCCCTCCCTCTCTCTGCCCCTCCCTGGCTCGCTCGCTCACTCTCGCTCTCGCTCTCTCTCTCTCTCAAAATAAATAAATAATCTTTTAAAAATTCTATTAAAAAAAAAAGACCAAAAAAATTGAATAGTATTTTTGACCCTTGCTCCTGGGGAATTGATCGTTCTGGGCCTTTGTTTCTTTCTGGGACACGGGTCCTAGCACAACAACAAGCCTCTTGCCATCTGTCTCCAGCCATCCTTCCATGAGATCACAGCCCAGCTGAGACGTCCTGCCCGACCAAAATAGTCTCCACGTGGTCATGTCTGCAGTCTGTTACACACATACCATATGAGTTCTCCAGAGGAAAGGACTGTGTGTCTTACTCCTACTTTTATTCATTCACAGCTTAGCTAGTAGAAGCAAGACAAGTGGCAGGATTCCAACATAGGAGGAGTATGCAAAGGCCTCCCACCGCTCACCTCTGACTACCCATTGTATTAGTTATTTTTAAGGAAAACAACAAAATGTAAGTACATGGGCACGGTAGCAAGGTGCGCCCTGAGATCTTGAAAACTACCCTGCTTTCTGAGGTCTCACTGAATCAGCATTTAACAGATGGGAACAGAGACCTGTGAAGTTGCCTCTGAGAGAGAGAACATCAGAACCTTCTCTGTTGAACCTACCAGAAGTGATTGCCTTACGTACAGAAGAGGGTGGCTGTGGGAGGGCACCCGAGCAGCCACAGAAGCGAAGGGAAGAGAGTGTCAGAGAGGCGAATATTAGCAGTGCCGGTCCAGCAGTGGCCAGGGGACTTATTGGGGACAAGGACAGCCCAGGCTGTCAGAGCCTGGTGCCTTCACACATCTGCATCATGGAACTCTATCTCCACACTCAGCAATCCACTAATAATCTGGTGGCCCCTCTAGCAGGACTGCAAAGAGAATGTGCTAGAAATTCCAGTAAATTCCAGGAAACGAAGGACTATGTCCGCCTTGTTCACCGCAGGACCCCCAGCACCTAGGTGCTCGATATTTACTGAAGGACTGATTTCATTAGGCAAGTAACTGGTTTGCCTGACAGTTTTAGTTTTACTCTCCTAAGTTTTCTTTTTAAAAACTTGCCTCCAGACACTCATTTGTGTTGGGTCTGCTTTCTTCTGGAATCCCGTCTCTTTTTCTCTCCTCTTAACCAAATCCTACTTGTGTTGAGGCTTCGTTCAAATTCTGTTGCTAGCCACAGATTCCTCTCCTTCACCTGACCTCCCAGAATTACTCAGGCCATAATCATCTGCTGAGGGTAGGCCGGGGGATGGGACGGGACACCGCACCGGACAGGCGGAAGGAGGGGGCGGAGGGAGCGGGAGGGACATTCTGGGAAGCACCGCGTCTCTCCAGAGAAGAGCAGGAAGGCCGTGGTGTGGCTCTAGGTAGAGGGTGTGAGAAGGGGCTCGTTTGTGGGGAAAAGTGGCAACTCCATCTTCCAGGCCTATGGGACAGACACCTCAGAGTCATCCCTGACTCCTCCTCGTCTTTCTCCCCGACCCCACATCCAACCCGTCAGCGTGGGTCTGCTTGACCTTCAAACCATATCCTGACTCTGACCACCTCTGCCCCGGGCCCCCCCCTACACACGGTACTTTCAGCAGCAACCAAAGGGTCATGTGACTCCTCTGCTCCAAACCCTCCGATGGTTTCCCACCTCAAAGTAAAAGCCAGCTGATTTTGGCTCAGGTCACGATCTCACGGTTCATGAGCTCGAGCCCAGAGGCGGGCTCTGCGCTGACAGCACGGAGCGTGCTTGGGATTCTCTCCCGTCTCCCTTCCTCTCTGCCTCTCCCCTGCTCTCATGTGCTCACTCTCTCTCAAAAAGAAGTAAACATTAAAAATAAACAAACATTAAAAAAGAAAAAGTAGGGGCGCCTGGGTGGCACAGTCGGTTAAGCGTCCGACTTCAGCCAGGTCACGATCTCGCAGTTCGGGAGTTCGAGCCCCGCGTCGGGCTCTGGGCTGATGGCTCAGAGCCTGGAGCCTGTTTCCAATTCTGTGTCTCCCTCTCTCTGTGCCCCTCCCCCGTTCATGCTCTGTCTCTCTCTGTCCCAAAAATAAAATAAACGTTGAAAAAAAAAAATTTTAAAAAGAAAAAGTAAAAGCTGGTCTTTCCGGAGGCCTGCAGGTCCCTGAACTTCTCTTGCCCTCCCTGACCTCTGACCTCTGCTCCCACTATACTCCTGCCGCGCTCACTCCATTCCTGGCCCCCTAGCCTCTGGCTGTTGCTCAGACATTCCAGGCGCGTGACCACCTCACGGCCTTTGCTCTAGCTGTTCTTTCTGCCCGAAATGCTCTTCCCCAAAATATCTGCACGACAGAGCAACTCACCATTTTGGGGGCTGACCTCATCATGAGGCCTTCCCTGCCTCCCCTCTTTAAAATTGTAAATTCTGCTCTGACCTCCTGTGTTCCATCCCTGTGCCGTCACTAACCAACTGTGTATTTTACTTACTCATCATCCACACTCCTCCGACCCCAAATGTAAGTGCCATGAGGGGACTTTGTCTTACTTACCACTTTACCCCGTGTCCTAGGCCTGGCACAGAGCAGATACTCGGTACGTATTTGCTGGGTGGGTGATAGAAGGCTGGAAAAGGTGGAAGAGGTAGATGGGGGGCCAGATCAAAACAATGCAGGGGAGGGGCTGCTCCGAGCTGGGCTTTGGGGCAATTGAGAGCAGGGGCCAGTCAACCAGGTAGGAGGTGATACATTTGGCTGGCCTGGAGGGGGGGGGGTCCCCAGATCTGGGCCGAGACAGCAGGGAAGGACAGTCAGGGGGACTGGTGTGTATCACCATCGGAACCATCCCTCCCTGCCTAGAGACCAAGCAGGTTTTAGGAATCTGCCTATAGAAATAAAAGCAGTCTAGAAGCTTGATGCACAAGAATGTTTATTGCAGCATTGTTTGAAGTAGCAGGGAAAAAAAGAAAAGGAAACAGCCTGAGTTTCTGAAATTAAAAGACTAGCTGAATAAATAATGTATCCATTCTACGAACTAGTATATAGCTATAAAAAATAAGTTCTATATAAATGAAGTGATCTGGAAAACTGTCCATGATCAATTGTTAAGTGAAAAGCCAATTACTGAATATAATTCAGTGTGGTCCAGTGTTTGAAAAACAAAGCTCATATATGCACACATATCTTTGAACATGTTTGTATTAACATCAAAAAGTTCGGAACGAGACCACCAGATTAGAAGTTGCTCGTTATGGGGTAGGGGTGGGGCACTGGAGGGGAGAAGGGAAGACTTCTATACTGTTTAACTGCTTGTAACAGGCAGGTATGACTTTTATAAATTAAAAAAAAAAAAAAAAAGCCAGGTGGGTCCCCCTCCACCTCGAACCTTCCTTTCCCAGGAGGAGACACTCTGCCCCTCCAGTGCAGCCCAACATCCAGCCAGAGGGTCTTGCCTCCCAAACAGCCGGCCTCGGCCATCTACCTGCCTCCCATCCTGGTGGCCCGGCCCCACCTCCGGCCTGCCAGTGTGTGCCAAGCCGGCGGGGCCTATAGCCGGGAACCATTCAAGCCTCAAGCCACCCGTAAGTGAGAGGGCCTCGAGAGCCCCTCTTCCACCTCCCTCCCTGAGGGGGCCGGGGGCCAAGCGGCCCGTAGGGCAGGGCAAGTGTCTAACCAAATTCTCTCACTGTTTGTACTAATGTACTTGAGCCTGGGCACCTGTTAGCTTGGGGGTGTTCAGGGTGTAGAGGAAACCGGTGAACTGGTCCTTTTTCATTTTTTTTTTAGAATTCTGTAATGATTAACTAGAGTCCACCAGTCCCTGACGAGTGTTTGGCTGTCAGATCTCAGGGCCCCTGCTCTCTTAAGGTTACACAGTCCCACACAGTAGGCACGCCAACCTACTTCCTGGAGCCTTTTGCCTCGCTCCCTACCTGGCATCCGGTGTAGCTCTTGGCCCAGACCTGCCGACAGCTCCACGTGGCCTCTACACACAGGCCGCCTCCACGGTGACCACAGTTTTCTTAGCCTCGCTCTGCACCAGAGCGTGTGGGTTCCGACCTTAGTTCCTTCGGCCCTTCCCCCTCCTGCCTGTCTGGACAGGACAAACTCAGGGGTTCCCGGGGTTCAAGGCGCCGGGACCCCGGAACAAGCATGCCCAACCAGGAGCTCAGACCACGCGTGGGGTGCCTCGCCTGCCTTAACTCGGCCATTTCTGGGCCCTGTAGGAGATTTGGAGAAAGAGAAGCGAAGACTCCAAAACATTTTTGCCACTGGGAAGGACTCCGAGGAACGGAAAAGGAAGCCCCCTCCGGGGCGACAGGAGGACCCAGCCCCTGAGCTGGACCGGTTTGAAGAATGTAAGCCACCGATGGGCCACCTAGGCCGGGAAGGTGGGCAGAGGGGTCCACAATCGGGGGGATGGAGAGTAACCCTGAGGGCCAACGAGTGGGGAACACGGACCGCAGAAACGCTTCCTCTCCCCAAGGGAGCAACCCGTTGTCCCCGCCACCCCTCCCGGGAGCCTGGCGGCCCCCGTTGCCCTGTACACTGATGGCCCTTCTCCCCTGTCCAGTGGTAAAGGAAATCCAGGACAGGAAAGAATTCCTGGCCGACATGGAGGCGCTGGGACAGGGCAGACAGTACCGAGGGATCATCCTTGCGGAGATCTCCCAGGTAGAAGCCACAGGGAAGGGGGGAGAGGGTCTGCCGTGCGTGCGCAGCATGAGACGTGAGTGGACAGGGCACCCGTCGCCCAGGTTTGGGGCTCCTCAGGTCCCGGCCCTGAATCCCAGCTTTCCCCGATGCCCTTTGCAGAAACTGCGGGAAATGGAAGACATTGACCACAAGAGGAGTGAGGAACTTAGGAAGGCTCTTGCCACCCCTTGATCTGCCTCCAGAGACAGGAGCAGAGTAGCCCAACGTGGACCACTGGAGCCCCACCCCCTCGCCCAGCAGGCTTCCCCCCCCCCCCCCCGCCCCCATCAGCCCACCTACCCTGGCCTTCAGCCACGTCAAATGGCCACACGGCACTGCCCTGGCCCGGGGAACCCTGGGCACACGCAGCACCCTAGAAAATGGCCCAATCTCCGAGAATGAGCTGATTCTCCTCAAGGCTCTGCCCAGGGAGCCTGGGTCGGCTGAGCCACTGAGACCGACAGTCACAGTCACAGACATGCCCAGCACACACCACACACATAAGCACACACGACTTGGAGTCTTTTCTCGGGGAAAGAGCCCACATACAGTGAAGGCGAGGCCCAATCGCACCCTCTTGGCCACGTGCCAGAGGGCATCCCACGGGCCCCTTCCTCCCCACCCAGCACCCCCTGTGTGCCCTACGCATTTGCTTTTCAGAACCCAGGAATGAAGGGGAGTCCTTTCAACCTACCTGTCTTAGGAGCTATTTATTTGACTTCTTACAGCCTCGGGCAAATGTTTAACGACTACCATTAACTGGCCAGTAAGACACCTCTACCCTAGGTCATCACACACACTGTTTTGTTTTCAGAGGGAAGGCTTCTGTGTTCAAGGAGTTAGGACTTTTCAAGCCCGGATGGTTTTTAGCCATTTGCACGTCTCAAGTGGAAATGAGAACCAACACCTCTTGAACAGCCCATGGCCGGGCACCATGGCAGGTGCTGAATTTCACTTGGTCCGTTTGCTCAATAAAGCCCTGGGACGGCTTGCTACCCACTGTGTGAAATCTGAGGCTCCCCAGGACACCGTAACCAAGGTCATTCAACTCAAGTAGCCCACTAAGGGTTAGAAGTTAGTTCTCGGTCTTTCCGCTAAACCCGCGGCCCACAGAGACACAAGGGTGGGAGACAGACCAAAAGAGCCCGGCTTTGAAGCTCCGATCCCAGCCTGTGCTCTGCGAGCCTGGGCAGCACCCCAGACTCCGCTCCGACTGCTCATAGGCGAAGCCCTGCCTCAGAGGGCTACGGAGACCTCTGACCACAAGAACAGCCCCCCAGGCCTGGCACACGGCACATGGACGTCCCCATTTCTTCTCACGGCCACGAGCCTTATATTCTCCGGTATTCTGACACTTTCCTGTCCCCACACGTCAAAATATTTTGGAAATTTAGGCCACTCTTCCTACCCACGGGTCCCGTCCCCGTGCTTTAACAAAATCCCCCTTTTCACCCCCCAAAAATTTTTTTTGGCAATTTCAACCAACACTCCCACCTGGAGGGATGCATATCATCCTACAGGCCACATACATGACCCAAGCTTTGGGTTGCAGAACAAACATGGCCCCGTAGCCCCAAACAGGTAAGTAGAAGAGGCCAGATGAAGGGCTGGCTCAGGAACATTTCCATGGGAGGCCTGTGTCCACACACCCTCCAGAACCCGAGGGCAGAGGGTATAATATGACAAGGACAGCTGTCCTCCACCTCAAAGGCCCCCTCACATAGCCCAGAGGCAGCAAACTGGAGAATGCCAGGACAAATTTGGCCACCCGTGACAATACAGCCTACCCTTGATTTAAATTCAGATCCGTTGCCAACGTTTACAAATCACACGCACACGCAATCTGGATTTCCAGCTTCTTTTGAGAAATGGAAGAGTCTGGCAACACTGGGCCCACGTTCCCACAAACTACAGTTGACTTAAGTAACGAAGAACTTCCCCCTTTAGTTGGGGGCATAGACACCCCAGTTCACCCCAGTCCCCACCACCTGAGTCTCCAGACACCCAGACAGCCTGCCACTCCTCAGGTTACACCCCGCCTGGTCATGCATGTGACCTGCCTGGCCCCTGAAAGCCTTTGTGGAGTTGGTGACCAGCTCCAGGTCAACAGGCACATCTGGAAGGAGACCGCCAGGGGCTGTGCAGGTGCGGGAGCCACCTCTCCCAGCTGCAGAAGAGTCCTGCCCACTGGCAGGCACTGAGGACCAAGGCTCCCTGGCAGGGACGGCCCCACAGGTCCCGCCCAGGTGACCAGAGATGTCCGGCCACGGCATGCAGCGGACACAGGGAAGCAGGCACACCTGGCTAAGGGCAAAGCACCCAAGGCTCCAGGGCACCGGCAGCTGAGGTTGTCTCCGTTTATTGTTGGCGAGGAAAATCCTCGTGAGTTAATACAGTGCGTACTTTCCCCAGAGGTGTGCTGAGGGGGGTGCCCTGGAGCACCCCAGAGATAGCTTATAGCAACAGTGCTTTGACCGAGAGCTGCTGGACACATTCCCTGGGGAAAAGGCCATTGTCCCCCATCGGCTCCTCCTCTCCCCTGGCCATCTCAGTGGGGTAAGTGGCCATCAGTCCTTCGGGGGAACAAGTTAGGAGAGAACGGACAACAGTCGAGTGTGAGTAGACAGACTGGTGACGGCCACACGCAGGAACAGGCCCACCATCCCCAGCCCTGGGGGAGGTGGGGGGAGGTCTAAGTGAGGGGTCAGACTACAATGTGTTAAGGAACCAGGATTAGCACCTCTGTGAAACATCCTCCCTCGGCTGATGATCGGGGACCGGAACTGCCATGGGGCCTGCCTCCCAGAGACCCTCATCCACCCGGCGTGGCCGCCCAGCCCCGTGGCTCCGGGGGGTGAGGTTTCCTATGGAACCAGGGGAAATGAGAGAGGCCCCTCCTAGAACGCTGAGGGACAGAGGGAGGGATTTGTCCATCAGGCCCGTTTGTGTCTGAGGACACAGTAATGAGCTCAAACCTAATTAGACTTCATAAATAGAGCTCCTGAGTGAGGAGAAACAGATTCAGGGCCACCTGCACTGGAAAGGAAAACGAGGATGCAGAGCCAGGGCTGGGGCAGGAAGAAGCCAGCGCCACCAAGCCCTGAGTGCTGGCCTGCCAACAGCAGCAGAGGCCTGAAGGCAGGAGACCCCGGCGGGAGGTCGGCCGTGGGCGGACCACGCGGGCGGGAGGAAGGACCTCCAGGTCAGGACTGTGACAGCTAAGAATCCCTTCTGGACACAGTACAGAAGGGAAGAGGAGGGACCAAGGGGCTGCCCGTCACAGCAGGGGCTGGGTGGTGGGCAAGGCGGGTGTGCTGGGCCGCGGCCCCTCCCTGGATCCTGGACCCAGGACCCTGCTCGCCCCGTGGGTCAGTCCCAGCATCTGGAATCACCAGAACCAGACTGGGCAGAGCTGAGCCACAGCTGCCTACGGCTCAGAGAAGGAGGAAGAAAACTCTTTGGCCCAGACCAGCAACAGGACCCTGAGGAGGGAGAGGCTGTCACCGAGAGGCCCCCTCCCCTTGCATCATCTCTCCTCAGGACTGATCCTGATGGGAAGCAGGGAGCCCCCCACCCCCCCGCCGCCCTCGAGTGGAGCACAGCCCAGGGGCTGAGCCAGGAGGGGTGAAAGTCCCAGCCGGCTGCCCTCACTGTTAGCTCTTGTCCCCCGGGGACTTGCTCTTGGTATCACGCTTGTTCCCTAGCAGCTTCAGCACCTTCATGGTCTTGAACTTCCCCTTTTTCTTGCCCTCGGGTTCAGCCTCCCTCTGGAACTCTGCAGAAGAGAAAGGGGGAGTACGTCGGGAGAGGCCAGGGGCCGTGACGGAGGCCCAGCTCCGCCCCTCCACCTCGTGTGGAACCTTGGGCAGGTCACTTCACCTTTCTGGGCCTACAGGATGGGGTTTCTGGCAAGGATCCGGAAATAAACGAATGTGAAAACAGTCTGGAACTCTGAAGCACGGCCAAGATTTATCATGAAAAGGCCCGACCCCTAGGCTGGTGCTCAGCTCTGTGGGTTACAACGCAAACACGGACAGAGCTGGAAGGAACCTCAGAAATCATCTGCCTATAGACCACGAGAATGTGGGCCTTTGAAATGAACTAACACCAACAGAGCTCTTTGTAGTTGCCAGGCCCGGAGCTAAGTGCTTTGTTTACATGCGTTATCTGAATAGCCCTCCCGTGAAGGGGTGCCCCTATCACCCCCAATCTGCAGACAAGGAGGGGGAGGCCTACAGGACTGAAACGGCTGGGGCTCCAAGTCACCCAGCTAGTAAGTTCCAGATCTGGGACTGGAACCCAAGCAGCCTGACTAGAGTCCAGACCCAACCACAAAGCCACAGAATGAGTCACCGGTGGAACCAAGATTAAACCCGGGTCTCCTGACTCCGCGGCCAGTGCCCTCTCCACCATTCCAGGCACCGTCTCATCTCTGGTAGGCACTGCTGTGTGAGGCCGCCAACTCCTCCGAGATCAGCTCCAGATGTCAGGGAGGAATGCCTGGCTTCAGGCAGCCACCCTAGGAAAGTGCCCCTTGCCCACCACAGCCCTCCCCGTAGCCCCCCACTCCCAGCCCAGGCCATAGCCCTTCTCGCCACACACGGCCCTCCCGGCAAGAGAGAGGCTGGGAGTCTGCACACAACGTCCCTGTAGCATCCGCTCCGACCCTCTGTTCAACCTGCCCGCCAACCGTTCTGGTGAACCAGAGCCCCAGGAGGGCCTCACCTTTCCTCCTGATCATGGCTTCCAACATCTTGTCTTCCTCTTCCTCCCTGAAACGAGAAAGGGAAGCCAAGGGTCCCACAGGAGGAAGGCCCAGATATTCTCAGTCCCTTCCAGCCTCTGAGTCCCTCCGACAGGGTTGAGCAAGGGTGCAATGGGATCGCTGGCAGTGAGGACAGGGCTGGCCAGGCCCGCTCCGGACCCCCTCCGGCGAGGAACCCCAGAGGGTAGCCCTTCCCCAGCCATGTCACCTCTGCCGGTCCTCATCCAGGCAGTTGACGATGGCGTTGCGCTGCTCGATGAGGGTCACGAGCTCCTGCATCAGCACCTTCTCTCGGCCCCGGTCCTCCTCTGTCCAGTCCTTTTCTGCCCAGGGAGAAAGGTCGGGGGCATGAGTGGTGGGAAACCCGCCTGCCTTCCCAGGAAGCCAGGAACCAATGCCTAAGTGCTGAGGCGGCTGCGGGCTGCCCCCATGCTGGATCCTATGAGGGCAGAAAGGAGGGGCCCAGCTGGGTGGGGATGACAAGTTCTGGGGGAAACAAAGGTGGTTCCGGCAGAGACAAAGCATACTAGGATGCCTACCAAAAAACCTTTCAAGGGGGCTCCAGGAGGGCAAGTACAACACATGTTCTGAGAACAGAGACCAGCTCTTGCCGAAGCATTCCTGCTTCTGTTCAACCAATGTTCACTAGGTGGTTTCTTAGAAGAGGCAGGATTCAGGCTGGGCCTGCTAAGAGTCTCCAAAGGTGGG